ATTTTAGATCACCGAGTTAGAGCTGCTAGATCTTTATCTAAAATCTGGATCTAAAACGAGGACTATCAAGCACCTTGAGATAACCTCCTGACATGAAAGGCGCTATATAAATGTAATTGTTATTGTCATCATCAATTCATGTAAGAGAAAACTTGATATATATGCCTTGTTCGCCTGCAGAATACACAGTAAATCCACTTCACACTACAGTGGAACCTATTAAGGTGGACACATTAGGGATGGCCGTTTTGTTTGGCTTAAGAGGCTTCCAAGGTTAACTGAAATACCGTTACCGCCCAGCAGGGGAGTCCAGTCGACCCTGTAAAATAATATGTTACAATGATGTTTCACTTGAAGCAATGTTAACTAACCAAACAGAACACCAAGTATTCTAACCGAGTAGTTAAAGTTAAAATATTTTACTCTCACAGAATCCAATAAAATGTATTTACTTTGTTTGGCACAAAATATCTTCCCACCTCAAGCGAATTTTACTGTATATCCTGTGGAGCATCTTGAGATGTATTGACAATGTGATAAGGCACATGCAAGGATTATTACATGAGGAAGAAGGTCAAAGGGTATATGGGAGAGGGACAGAGGATTAGGAGAGGTGGACTGTGGAGGAATATAAACACCAAGATGGTCTAGTTGGGGCAAATGGCCTGTTTTGGTGTTCCACAGTCTATGTATTCTATTTAAAGTGCTAACCATTTATTTAGCAAGGCACCCTCCAATGAGAGACCAAATTTGTTCATGTGTAATGCACACAACTCACTGGGGCATTGGTTTTATTGAGCTGCCAATTTAAATTTTCTGACAAGCCTTTAAATTCTCCTGAAATCCTTCCTGTTCATCTGTGATTACAATCACCTTCTGTCTCCTACTCCCGCTCCTCCCCCTGGTACACCACCCACCTCCGCTCACTGAAAAGCCAGGTGCGGGCTGCTGAACGCACCTGTGTCAAATCTGGCCGAACGGTCCACCGACAAATCTGGCTGGACCTCCTCAAAATTTACCGCTCCACTCTAGCCTCGGCCAAGTCGTCCTTCTACTCCAGGATAATCCTGGAGGCGAAGAACAACCCCAGGCTACTGTTTTCCACCACAACCCGACTCCTCCGTCCCCCCCGCCACCCCACGCAGGTCATCTCCTCCAACCTTCACTGCGAGGAGATGCTGGATTTCCTTGAATCCAAGATCAAGGGAATTCGCTCCGCGGTCACTTCCCCTCCAACATCCGCCAACCCCCCACCCCCTCACTCCCACACTCTGACTGCTACCCATCCTCCCCTACTCACTTTTGTACCCGTTTCCCCACCCTCTGTCACCAAACTCATCCTATCCCTAAAACCAACCACCTGCTCCCTTGACCCCATCCCCACTCCACACCTTATCTCCCAGCTCCACTTTCTTGCCCCACATATCACCGACATCATCAACCTGTCCCTCTCCTCTGGCTCTGTCCCCTTTCCCTTAAAAACTGCCACCATCACGCCCACCCTGAAAAAACGCTCCCTTGATGCGTCGCAGCTATCAAGCTACCGGCCCATCTCCAACCTCCCCTTTCTCTCCAAGGTCCTGGAAAGAGTTGTCGCCTCCCAACTGCGCTCTTTCCTTTCCACCCATTCACTTTTCGAACCCCTTCAGTCAGGTTTCCGTGCTGTCCATAGCACAGAAACTGCCCTGGTCAAGGTCACCAATGATATCCTGACCATCTGTGACCAGGGCTCCCTCTGCCTCCTCGTCCTCCTCGACCTATCGGCAGCATTCGATACGGTCGACCACGCTTTCCTACTCCACCGCTTGTCCTCCCACCTCAACCTTCAAGGCACTGTCTTTGAGTGGTTTAGGTCGTACCTTTCTCACCGTCTTCTGCAATATTTTGGTGTTTCCCTTCCAGAAACATAACATTTACACAGCGCTTTTCACATTGGAAGGATGTCTCAAAGCGCACAACACTGCCGGCTGGGCACCCGAGCTGGGGGTGGGAGCCGAGAGTGGTGGGATGGTTAAAGAGTTAGGTGTTGATGTGCTTTGAAAGAGGAGAGGGATAGAGTCGGCGCTCCAGAGAGCAGTGGCAAAATGGCGATGGTGTGGCAAATTGGATAGGGGGGAACATGAAGAACACCGTCCTGCGTGTTTGTTGGGCAAAGGGAGTGACTGGATCGGGAGGTCACAGTGGTGAGGGTGGAGGTGAAGGATGCAGAGGAGTTCCTCACTGGGGAAAGAGGGAGTTTTCTGTGAGTAAAAACTGCACAGCACTTCATTCGGTGTCTGCCCTCAGTCTCTTTGTGGCGGTAAAGGGAGACACTGATTGTCTGTCCTGACAGTGAACCACGAAATGCTGCCCTCACTACTCTCTCTCACTCTCTTTATTTCTCTCTCTGACCCTCTCCCTCATGCTCTCTCTTTCCCACAATCACTCTCTCTCTCCTTCCCCTCTCTCACTCCCTCTCTCCCATACACACGCGCTCTCCTCTCACATGCTCTCTCCCCCCACTGTCTCAATCTCCCTATCTCCCCTCAATTACTCTCTCTCACTTCCCCTCTTTCCCACATACACTCTCTCAATTATTCTCTCTCTCTCTGCTCTCTCTCTCTCCGCTCTCTCAATCTTCCTTCCACCCTCTGTTTCTGTCTCTGCCGCTCTCCCTTATGCTCTCTCTCTCTTTATCATCTCTCCCTCCCCAACCCCCTCACTCGACCATGTGGATGATTTCATCCATTTCCAACCTCGAGCCATCCAGTCCCTCCTTTCACAGCGAACCATCCTCTCCTGGCAGTGGCAGGAGCCAGCAGTTGGGATGATGGGGTTTCAGGAGACCCGCTTGCCTTCCGCTCAGCTTGGGAGTGACTTCCTGACAGTCTGCAGCAATGGCTGGCATTATTTCCACTCCCTGCACTGCATCATCCCAACCGCCGGCTCCTGCTGCTGCCATGAGAGGACATTTGCCAGGAAGGGAGGGAGCGAGTGGCTTGAAGTTCAAAAAGATCTCAGGCTGGATGAAACCATCTGCTGGGCCCGTTAGACCATCCTGGCCCAGGACAATACGAGTTACAAGTCCCAATTTATAACTTGAACCCTTAACTTTCTGACTCGGAAGCGAGAATGCTACCCAATGAGCAAGGCTGACACAACCAAAGAAGGAAATTAACAGACATAATTTACAAACAAAATATAGCTAGAGTGGGACCAAACCTGTAACTTGTATATAGGAAGAGTAAAACAAGAAATATTGCAGTTTCTGGAAATCTGAAACAAAAACAGAAGTCGCTGGGAACACTCAGCAGGTCAGGCAGCATCTATGGAGAAAGGAAAGTGAATCAACGTTTCGGATCCACGACCCATCGTCAGAACTGGGGCATGTTGGGAGGGAGAGGGTTTTAAGGACTAACAGACAGTGGGGAGGCAGGGCACGGAAGACAGAGGAGAAAGTGGGGTAGAGGACGTAGGATGATGGGTTAAAGAGGTGTTTACAATGCAAAACAAAGGGGGTGAGGGAATTGGAACAAAACAAACATAGGAACCTTGGAAAGGAAAGGTAGATAAAAGCGCTATATCAAATGCAAGGATTATAATTATATTATTATTACTTGGTTTCTCATGCCATATAATTGGTATGTGTCTTTCCCGGTTTCCGTATCTCACACATGTTTCACATTTTCCAATGTAGTCCTCTATCTGCTTATTTATTCCCGGACCAAAACACTACTTCTCTCGCTCTTCTTTTGGCTTTTTCTATTTCCCAATGTCCTTCATGGTGGTAACCCAATACTATATTACTTAATTCTTCTGTTATAATTATTCTATTTCAACAACAACAACAACAAGATTACATTTGTATAGCACCTTTCACGTCGGGAAGATGTCCCAAGGCGCTGGACAGAGTACAGCATTTCAGACTCGAGCTGGGTTTGGGGGATAAGGGAGGGGAGGGGAATGGGGATGGCCGATGGCATGGTCGAAGAGGAGGGTCTTGAGGCAGGACTTGAAGGAGGCTAAGGAGGAGGCGAGGCGGAGTGACTGGGGGATGGAATTCCAGAGGTTGGGCGCAGAGTGGCTGAAGGCTCTCCTGCCAATAGTGGGGTGGGTGGGTGGGTCGGAGGACGTGGAGCAGGCCAGAGCCATCTGAGCGGAGGGAACGGGTGGGTTGGCAGGGGGTTAGGTCGCAGGGGTAGGGTGGGGCGAGGCCATGGAGGGCTTTGTATGTGAGGACCAGGATCTTGCTGGATCCTCTGAAGGATAGGGAGCCAGTGGAGTTGGGCGAGAGTGGGAGAGATGGGGTCACAGAGTTTGGTGTGGGAGAGGACACGGCTGCCGAGTTCTGGATTATCTGCAGCCTGTGGAGGGAGGAGTTAGGAAGGCCGACAAGCAGTTGAGGCTGAAGGGAATGAAGGCATGAACAAGAGTTTCAGCATCATGAGGGGTGAGGTCACGGCGGAGTAGGGCGATGTTATGGAGGTGAGGGTAGGCAGAGCAGTTCATAGCTTGAATGTGGGGGGAAAAGACAGTTGAGGGTCGAACAAGACACCTAGGTTCCTGCTCAGTCTATAGCTCAGTGTGCACGTGTGTGAGATTCAGTGAGATACACTGAACTGTAAATTGGGAATAGAAACTGTGGCCGGTTTTTATCTCTGTTAACAACGGCCACTCCCTGACACCAATATTTAGACCTGAGTCATAGGTGTAATCAGTTTCAGTTGATCTCAGTTTCAATTTCAATTCCTGGGAAAGCACATGATGTTGACAGATCTAAAAGTATTTAAGGAACGAAGAGGCAAGTAAACTGGTTAGAAGTTTGAGGGATTACTTGGAAAGGGCATTGTTGTGGAATTGAAAGTACATCTCGCCTCTGATCCAGTGCAGATACGATACTCTGAATTGTCACATCTGCTCTGTAAATTTCTTTGACTGGAAGCATCACCGCATCTTATTTGATAAACAATTCAAAATCAAGTTGAAGAAGGATTTACTCAGTGTTACTCTATATCAGCACCATGAGGTAAGCTATCATCAACAACAACTAAATTCCATATGTAAAGCGCCTTTCACATCGGGAGGACATCCCAACGCAATGGACAATCAATGTTTCAGACCCAATCTGGGGGTCAGGATTGGGGTGGGTGGAGGCAGTGTGGGAATGTAAAAGGACTAAAACACGTAAAGACAATGATAAGATTAGAGTTGTTTTTGAGCTACAGCTGTGGATAATTAGAGCAGAACCAATGTCCTTGTATTGTCTGCAAATGTATAATCAAACTTGTGATGATTGAATGCTTGTCATTCAACAGCAAGAATTGTTTGAGGCACGAGTTAAGCATGAGGTGATTGCAAATAATCACGTATATAAACTAATGGGACTGCCCCATTGGTAGAGGGAGAGTACCGACTCTTCTGAGAGACGTGCTATTGTATTGCCTCTCGCTTTCCCTCTCATTGCTGCAAGTATTTGAATAAACTATATTTCTGAGTTAACTCTGTTTGTGAGTGTTCGTTTAATCCGAGCTATAGCGACTACATCCTGGGTTCGACAGTAGGAGAGAAAGAGGGTGACCGAAGGCATGGTCAAAGAAGAGGGTTTTAAGATGGGTCTTGAAGGAAGCAAGGGAGGGGGCAAGGCGAGGAACTGTGGTTTGGAGTTCCAGAGAGTGGGGATAGAGTGGCAGAAGGCCTGCCTGCCAATAGTGGGGTGGGTGAGGCAGTGGACGTGAAGCAGGCCAGAGCCTGCTGAGAGGAGGGAGTGCGTAGGTTGGTAGGGCGTTTGGAGGTTGCAGAGGTAGGGGTGAGCAAGACCATGGCGGGCTTTGAAGGTGAGGACCAGGATCTTGAACTGTATTCTCTGTGTGATGGGAAGCCAGTGGAGTTGGGGTGGATGGGGGTGATAGGGTCGCGGAGCCTGGTTCGGCAGAGGACATGGGCTGCAGAGTTCTGGATGATCTGCAGCCCATGGAGGGAGGAGTTGGGGAGGCCGATAAGCAGGATGTTTGCGTAGTCAACCCAGGATGTTATGAATGCGTGTATGAGCGTCTCAGCGGGCTGTGGTGTGTGACAGTGGCGGAGCTGAGTGATGTTGTGGAGGGGAGGGAAGGCAAAGCTGGTCATAGCATTGGTCGTGTTGCCGTTCAACTGTAGAAAGTTAACTCTCATCTCGGACTTGATATCTCACAGACATTCTGTCAGGACAGCAGTGGTCCAGTTGAGACAAATGGCTTGTTTTGGTGTTCTACAGTCCATGCAATTCTATTTACAGTACTAGCCATTTATTGAACAAGATGCCCTTCAACGAGAGACCAATTTGTTCATGTGTAATGCACAAAACTCACTGGAGCATTGTTTTTATTGAGCTGCCAATTTTAATTTTCTGACAAGCATTTAAATCCTCCTGAAATCCTTCCTGTTCAACTGTGACTACAATCATCTTCCTCTTCCTCTGTAATGTGCTTTCAGACATTACCCTACATGATTGGCACTAGTTAAGCACAAGTTGTTACGACAAGTCCCTGGTTTTCCAACTGACAGATCCCCCTCCCGTTGTCCTGCACTGGAGTGCAGCCTGGACTGGGGCTCAAAGCCACAACCTTCTGACTCAAGATACACTCTTCTCCAGAATTAGATGAGCAGGATGTGTCCCTTCAGGGAGAGAGATAGTGCATTCCATTCCAGAAACATTTTATAATGAGTAAGTGGCATGCATATGTGGAATTGTCCAGCTATTTTTGTGAGGATGATCTGAACCAATGTGATCAGGTTTTGCATTTTTGAGACACCTGGTTGACCAAAACAAGACTGAAAAACAATAGAAACTCGTCTTTCATGTGTCATATTCAGGTCTCAATATGGTCCAACGAAAGCTCTCAGGTTAATTTTCTGAACTGATCATCAGGAAAATACAACCCAGAATTGTAAAGTAAAAGAGATTTGGTTATTTGGATGTATTTTTGCTTTCTTCCAGCAAAGCACAGAAGGATTCTTTGGAAGAGAAACTACTTCAGCTTGAATGCCACTTCACATGGTCTGTTAAAGAGGAATTATTTGAATTGGACAGGAAAAAGCGAAGACTGGAAGAATTAATAATCGATGGCGTAAAGTACCAAGCCATGCCTTACAACTATCTTGCTTTTATAACTGGTCACCAAGGCAAGTACGAAGAAGCGCTTGAAAACTTACAGAAAGCTGAAGAGATTCTGCGCAAGAATCACAAACATGATTTTGAAAGAAGAAGCATCATCACCTATGGAAACTATGCCTGGGTATATTATTACATGGACCAGCTCACAGATGTCCAGACCTATCTTGATAAGCTGGAGAGGATCTGTAAACTATTTCCTAATGCATCTCGTCATTCAGTAATGACATCTGAAATATATGGGGAGAAGGGCTGGGCACTGCTAAATTGTACTGGAATATGTTATGAAGAAGCAAAGGAATGTTTTCTGAAGGCACTGGAGGAAGATCCTGATGATACTGAATGGAACATGGGTTATGCCACTGTTCTGTTTCGTCTGGAATCATCTGATGGCACTGCCGAGAACCTCACACCGAGTAGAGCAATACCACAATTACGACGTGTGTTAGAACTTGATCCAAATGACTCCAAAGCCATGGTGTTACTGGCTCTTAAACTAAGAGAAGTAAATGAAGTAAATGAAGGCTTAACATTAGTTGAGAAGGCACTGAAGATCTCTCCTAATCGTCCGTATGTGATTTACTATGCAGCAATATTTTTAAGAAGAGCTCATGCCATAGATAAAGCTGTGGAGCTGCTGAAGAGAGCAATAACAATCACACCAGAAGCAGCATTCCTGCACCATCAGATAGGTCTGTGTTATAGAGTCAAGTTGAACGGATTGAAAACATGTCCAGGCAGCAGCAACGCTGAATTTGAAGCAAGAGCTGAATTGATTGAACTAATCAAGTACCATTTTGACAAGGCATTTTTAGTAAAAAAATCATTTATTGCTGCACAACTGGATTTCGCAGATAGCTGTTTAATGAATCAAGAACAACGCAAAGCTGTTCAACACAAACCTACTTAAATTAGAACACACCCATCCTGAAAAACAGTTGTGTTTTTGAAGGTTGGCTTATTTGAAATGTATCGCAAAAAATCTGATTTGAATGCTGCTGAATTTTTCTTGAAAGGAATGGAAGTCCAATACAAGTCCTACCATAGAGAGAATTGCCGCAGAAATTTGGAAAAGATGATGCAAAGACGACTCTACAGAAGTCCAAGAGACAACATTTCCTTTGGTTTCCTTGGGTCCATGCATCAGCTGGATGGGGAGAAGCCACAGGCTGTTGAATACTTTGAAAAAGCCCTGAGGTTTAATCCAAACAATGAAGAATATCTAAATGCTCTTTGTGAATTACGTCTTACTATCTAGGGAAATGATAACGTCCTCAGTTAAAACTAAGATGTATGCTAAATATCAAGCTTATAAACTCTTCTAGCTAAATCTACGTCTGTAGGGTGGATGATTGGACAGAATAACAATAACAATTTGCACTTATATAGCGTCCTCCATGCCGGGCAGCATCTCAAGAGCGCTGACAATGGTGGAGCCCAAGGCCGAGCCAGGGGGAGGGGGAAGGTGACTATAGGCGCGGTCGAAAAGGAAGGTCTTCAAGCACAACCTGAAGATGGGGAAAGAGGGGGCGAGGCGAAGGGTTTGAGGGTGGGAGTTCCAAAGTTTCAGGATGTAGTGGCAGAAGGCATGGTGGAGCGGAGGATTCAGGGGACACGGAGGAAGTTGGAGCTAGTAGGGCAGAGGCAGCAGGTACTGCTGTGGGGAGAGAAGAGGTTAGAGTGACAGGTGGGTGCCAAGGAACGGAGGGATTTAAATACTAATGTGAGGATCTTGAAGTTGATCCACTCTGTGACAGAGAGTCAGTGGAGTTTGGCAAGGACTGGAGTAATCAGGGTATGAAGTTTGGTGTGGAGAATATGGGCGGCGGAGTTTTGAATGAGCTGAATTTTGTGAATAGTGGAGGAGGACGTTAGAGTAGTCCAGCCGAGAGATAACAAAGGCATGGACAAGGCTTTCGGCTGCTTTTGGGGTGAGGTATTGTCGGAGACGGACAATGTGGCGGAGGTTGAAGAAAGCGGTGCTGGTCAGGGACAAGATGTCTTTTTTACTCTTATTAAATTCTCTATTTGCCACAGAGCAGAGTGGTAGGAGGGGAAGGAGCTAAGCTGGGAAGCAATGACTCATTCCAGAAACTTGGAAAGGAAAGGTAGGTTGGAGATGGGGTGGTACTTGGAGAGCAGAGACTGGTCCAGGGAAGTTTGTTTGAGGATGGTGTTGACGAGGGCTGTTTTTAAGGGGGTATGAAAGCTTCCAGTGGACAGGAAGAGATTGACAATGTTTGTGAGTGGAGGAGCAAGGAGGTGGAGCTGGGAGGTAAGGAGTGGGGTATGAATGGGGTCGAGGGAGCAGGTGGTTGGTTTGATTTTGGTCATGATGGTGGTGAGAGAGCAGGGGGAGATAGGTTCGAAGGTGTGGATGGAAGGGTGGTTAGGGGCCGGAGTGTGAGGGGGAGCTGGGGAGAGTGTAGCAGCTGGAAGCGCAGAGGCAGCTGAGCAGATCACCTTGATTTTGGTCTCAAGGAAGTCCAGCATCTCCTCGCAGCTGGAGTTGGGAAGAGAGGATGGGCGAGTCATGAGAGGATGGGTGGAGGAGCCAGTTAGTTGTGGAGAGGCTTGGGGTTGTCCTTGACCTCCAAGATTATCTTGGAGTAGAAATACAATGTAGTGGAGGCGAGGGCAGAGTGGTAAGTTTTGGTGTGATCTAGCCAGATCTGCCGATCGACTGTTTAGTTGGCACCACGCAACTGTGCCTGAGAGAGCACAGGTGGCTGGTGACTTGCGTGTGTAGGAGACAGGTTGGGAGGTGAGGGGGAAAAGGCCTCCAGAATGGTGGAGAAGTTGTGGAGGAGAGTAACCGAGGAGGATAGCTCATTGCAGGATTAAGCCCAGAGGGGGAGGAGTTCAGGGCAGCGGAGAGGGAGGGGATGTAGATTTTTTCCTGGGGTGCTCGGAGATGGAGGTGGGTTGGGTGGCAGTGGGGAGAGGGATTGAAGAGTTAAAGGAGATGGTACGAGATGGCTTTGGCAGTGATGGTGATGTCTGAGATGCTGAGGCCCCGAGTAATTACCAGATCAAATGGTTGGCTACTGACATAGCAAAGTTGATGTGGAGGGAGAGGTTGTGAGAGACAGGGGAGTAGGAGTCAGTGGAGATAGAAGAAGGGGTAGAGAATATAAAACCAAAGAATTTGATGCTTGTATTAATTGTTAGATTACAATCAGAATATTGTGTCCAGTTTTAGTCACCCCTCAATCTACTCTAATATCACATCCAGGCTTGATTATTCCAATGCATTGACAACTGGGCTTCTCAGCTCTTTCATGTCGTGTTAAAATTGTAAGGATTATTATTACAGAGTGGCTCCCAATTGCTCCTCATTCTCAATTTCAAATGCCTCCATGGTGTCATTTCACCCTAACTCTGTGACCTACTGCCCAGCAGCTCTTCTTTTTCTTCCTATATCCTTTGGCGTATTTCCCATGATGTTCTTCTATGTATTTTTGATTTATCACTTTTAATCCAATACTATCTTGGGTTTTTATCCTTCATCCAAATTTCTTCTTTTGTCCAAACTTCTATTTCTCTTGTAAAAGTGTTCTCCTTTCCTGATTTGTGGTTTCCCTTCATTTCTATTGTGTTGTACCTGTGACCTCAATTTCCAAGATTAACAAATCTCTTAACCATCTTGACATCAGTATTTGTGCTGGTGAATTGTCTTTGTCATTGTCTCATTGTCTTTCGATATGTTTGTATAGGCCAGAATTGCCAGATGCTTTTCTGCCTTTGTGTTGTCTGTCTACATCCATATTTTCTTTATAGTCTGTACTTCACGCTCCACCATACCATTGCTTTGAGGATACCCTGGTGAAATTGTTTTGTGGTTTATTTCCTACAGCCTTGTAAATGTCTTGTATACCTTGCTTAAGAATTGGGGCCCATTATCGCGAATTATTTCCCTTGGTATTCCATATCCGGCAAAGATTTCCTTGGTTTTTNCCACTATAATTACAGATGTTGTGTCATTCAACTCTGTGTATTTACTGTACCTTGATGTATCATCACTATTAAGTAGCTTTTGTCATTATTATAATAAAACAAATCAGTTCCTAGTTTGGTCCAAGCTTTACTTGATTTCTCGTGCCTTATAATTGGTTTGTGTCTTTCCCATCTTTGATATCTCACGTTTCACATTTTCCAATGTAGTCCTCTATCTGCTTATTTATTCCTACCAAAACACTACCACTTTCGATTTCTTTTCGTTTTTTCTGTTCACGAATGTCCTTCATGTATGTTTCTTAATACTATATTCTTTAATATTAGGCATAATTATTCTATCCCCTCGCTATATAATGCCATTTTGTTAGTACATTTCATTTTGGTATTCCTAATATAGCTGGACCTCTTCTGGTGCCTCTTCTGTTTTTAGACCTTTTACACCTTTTTCAGCCTTGTCTGAATTGTCTTACTTATCCTATCTCTTTTGTTTGCTTCTCTAATCTCTTGCTCCTGTCTTGTTGCTTTTGCTATTTCCCATACCTGGAATTCCATTTCTTTTTCTAGTTGCTTGTCCTCTTCATTCGCCTTTTGACTGGTGGCTCAACTTACAACAACAACAAGATTTAATTTATAGAGCGCCTTTCACGTCGGGAGGACGTCCCAAGGCGCTGGACAGTTGGGTCAGGACCCGAGCAGGGGGGAAATGATCAGGGTGAGGGGAGGGAAGGGAGGGAGCGAGGAGGGGGGAAATGGTCAGGGTGAGGGGAGGGAAGGGAGGGAGCGAGGAGGGGGTAGAACGTCGAGAGGGGAGCTGAAGGCACGGTCAAAGAGAAAGGTCTTGAGACCCGCCTTGAAGGAGGAAAGGGAGGAAGCGGCGAAGGCACTGGGGGATGGAGTTCCAGAGCCTGGGGGCTGAGAGGCTGAAGGCCCGGCCACCGATGGTAGGGCGGTTGGGGCAGGGGATGTGGAGCAGACCGGAGCCAGAGGAACGGAGGGTACGGGCAGGTAAGTAGGGGGATAGTAGGTCGGAGAGGTAGGAGGGAGCAAGGCCGTGAATGGCCTTGTAGGTGAGGATGAAGATCTCGAGTTCGATCCTCTGGGGGATGGGGAGCCAGTGGAGGCGAGCGAGGGTGGGATTGATGTGGTCGCGAAGCCTGGTGCGGGACAGTACACGAGCTGCAGAGTTCTGAATGACCTGCAGCGTGTGGAGGGAGGTACCGGGAAGGCCGGCGAGGAGAGAGTTCCCATAGTCCAGCCTTGAGGTGATAAAGGCGTGGACCAGAGTTTCAGCAGCGTGAGGGTTGAGGTAGTGCCGTAGTCTGGCGATATTCTGGAGGTGATGGAAGGCGGTGCCAGTTGTGGCGCGGATATGAGGGAGAAAGGACAGCTCAGGGTCGAACAGAACGCCGAGGTTCCTGACTGGCTTTGAGAGGTGGAGAGTGCAGCCTTGGATGCTGATGGTGTCAGCGCCTGAGGTGCGGAGGCGCTGACGTGAGCCAATCAGGAGGGCCTCAGTTTTGCGCACGTTGAGCTGAAGAAAGTTCTCTCATCCAGGACTCGATGTCAGACAGGCGGCTGTCAGGACATCGGTGGTCGTGGAGTTGAGAGTAGAGGAGGAAAGGTAGAGTTGGGTGTCATCCGCATACGTGTGGAAGTTAACCCCATGTCTGCGGATGATGTCACCGAGGGGGAGCATATAGAGGGTGAAGAGGAGGGGACCGAGGACAGAGCCCTGAGGGACACCGCACGAGACAGTGCGGGGGCTGGAGGAAAAGCCGTCACTGTCACATATAGTGTTTTCCAAGGCTTGTACTGAAAATCTCTGTAGCCGTATTCTCATTCTTTGTAGTCTTGACAGTGTTTCATTTAGCCCTTTTCTCAGAATGGCCTCTAATGGTTTGTGATCATTTTCTATATTCACTTTTTTTCCAAGTACATATTGCTTGAATCTTTTGCACCCAAACACCACAGCTAAACATTCCTTCTCTATCTGGGCATATCTTTTCTCCGTTTCTGAAAGTGTCCTGATGCCTATGCTATGACTTTGCTCCTTGCATTAACACTGCTCCTATTCCTGACTGACTTATTTCCACAGATATTATCACCAGTGCAACTTATATCATAAATTTTAGTACTGGAGCTTTTAATATGGCTTCTTTTACTTTATTAAACGCCTGATCCTTTTTTTATATGAATTCTCTGTTTTCTTATAAGCTCCATGACTTTAGAACTGAGTTGAGAAAACATTTTTTCACTCAGAGGGTGAATTCATGGAATTCTCTACCCCAGAATGCAGTGGATGCTCAGTCATTGAACATATTCAAGACTGAGATCAATTGATTTTTCAAAACTAAAGGGATTCAGGGATATGGGGAAAGGGCGGGTAAATGGAATTAGGTTAGATGATCAGCCATGATCTTATTAAATGGCGGGGCAGGCTCGAGGGGCTGAATGGCCTACTCCTGCTCCTATTTCTTATGTTCATAATGTCAATTGAGTATGACTTCCTTCGCCAAC